AATGTAAAAAAAAAAAAAAAGATACAAATGAACTTATTTACAAAACAGAAACAGACTTAGAGAATGATCTTATGGTTATGGGGGGAAGGGTGGGGGAGGGGATGGATTGGGAGTTTGGGACTGACATGTACACACTGTTATATTTAAAATAGATAACCAACAAGGACCTACGGTATAGCACAGGAAACTGCTCAATATTCTGTAATAACCTAAATGGAAAAAGAATTTGAAAAAGAATAGGTACATGTATAACTCAATCACTTTGCTGTACACCTGAAACTAACACAACATTGTTAATCAACTATACTCCAATATAAAAACAAAACAAAACAAAAAGGTGTAAGTCTTTGTGACCTTGGATTAGGCAACAGTTTCTCAGATGTGACACTTAATGCACAGGCAACCAAAGAATAAATTGATAAACTGGACTTTATAAAAATCAAAAACTTTAAAAAGAACCCACAGAATGGGAGAAAAATATCTGCAAGTCACATATCTGATAAGGGTCTACCATCCAAAATATATAAAGAACTCTTACAACTCAACAATTAAAAGACATTAAATAACCCACTTTAAAAATTGGTAAAGGATCTGAGTAGACAGCTCTCCAAAGAAGATATACAAATGGCCAATAAACACATAATAAGATGCTAAACATTATTAGCCATTAAGGAAATGCAAATCAAAACCAAAATGAGGTACCATTTTCACACTTACTAGGATGGCTATTATCAAAAAAACAAAAAATAGGGCCTTCCCTGATGATGCAGTGGTTAAGAATCTGCCTGCTGATGCAGGGGACATGGGTTCGAGCCCTGGTCCAGGAAGATCTCACATGCCACGGAGCAACTGGGCCCGTGCGCCACAACTACTGAGCCTGCGCTCTAGATCCCACGTGCCACAACTACTAAAGCCTGCAAGCCTAGAGCCCGCGCTCCACAACAAGGGAGGCCACTGCAATGAGAAGCCCGCGCACCACAAGGAAGAGTAGCCCCCGCACGATGCAACTAGAGAGAGCCGACGTGCAGCAACAAAGACCCAACACAGCCAAAAATAAAATAAATTAAATAAATAAATAAATAACGTGTTGGTGAGGATGTGGAGAAACTGGAGCCCTTGTACACTGCTGGTGGGAAGAAAAAGTGGTTCAGCACCGTGGAAAACAGTCTGGTGGTTCTTCAGAAAGTTAAACATAAAATTACCATATGACCCTGCAATTCCACTCATAGCTATATATCTCAAAGATATGAAAACAGGTACTTACAAATACACATACAAGTGTTTATAGCAGCACTAATCACAACAGCCAAAAGGCAGAAACAATGCAAACATCCATCAACAGATAAACAGATAAAGAAATTGTGGTATGTGTGTGTGTACATATATATACGTGTGTGTGTGTGTGTATACACACACACATACGTATATTGGGTTGGCCAAAAAATTCGTTTGGGTTTTCTATAAGATCTTACCAAAAACCCAAACGAACTTTTTAGCCAACTCAACACACAAACACACACAAAATGAATATTACTCAACCATAAAAAGGAATGAAGTACTGATACAAAAACATGGATGACCCTCAAAAACATTATGCTAAGAAGCCACATACAAAAGATCACATATTGTATGATTATCTTCATATGAAATATCCATAATAGGTAAATCCACAGAGACAGAACGCAGAGTGGCTGTCAGGGGCTGGGGGAAGGAGGGAATAAGGAGTGATTGCTTAATGGGTATGGGGTTTCCTTTTCGGGTATTGAAATGTTTTGGAACTAGACAGAGGTGGTGGTTGCAAAATATTGTGAATATTGTACTAAATGCCACTGAACTGTTCACTTTTAAATGGTTGATTTTATAGTGTGTGAATTTCACCTCAGTTAAAAAAAAGAACCACAATGAGATACTTCACACCTACTAGGATGGGTGTAATTTTTTTTTAAGTTTTTTTAAACAAGTTTAGGTGAGGACGTAGATAATGGAATGCTCATACATTGCTAGTGGGATTGTAAAATGGTGCAACTACCTTACTTGTAAAACAGTTTGGCAGTTTCTCAAAATGATAAACAGAGTTATCACATGACCCAGTAGTTTTGTTCCTGGAGAACTGAAAACATATGCTCACAAAAAGAATTGTACACAAATGTTCATAGCATTATTCTTAATAGCCAAAAAATGGAAACGGCTTAAATGTCTATCAACTGATGAATGGATAAATGAAGTGTGTTATATTCATGCAATATTATTCAGCCATAAAAGAAATGAAGTACTTATATACACTACAATATGGACAAACTTTGAAATCATCATGCTAGGAAGCCAGACCCAAAAGGCCACATACTGTTTGATTCTATTTACATGACGTGTCCAGAACTGACAAATCCATTGAGGTAGAAAGTAGAACAGTAGTTGCCAGAGGTGGGCAGGGGTAAATAGGGAGTGACTCCTAATGGGTACTAGGTTTCTTTTTAGGATGATAAAAAAGGTTCTAGAATAAGATAGTAGTGGTATTTGTGCAAACTTGTGAATATACTAAGAAATCACTAACTTGTATATTTGAAGAAGGTGAATTTATGGTATATTAATTATATCTCAATAATAAAAGGTACTGAAACAGATGATCCACCTAAAAATAAATGAACCTTGGACTACATCTTGCACGATATACAAAAATTAACTTGAAGTGGATCATACACCTAATATTGAACAAAAAAGTTCTAGAGAACAAAGGAGAAAATCTATGTAAACTTAGATTAGGCAAAAATTTCTTAGCTACAACACAAAAAGTATCATCCATAAAATTTGAAAAATTGATAAACTGGACTTAATCAAAACATAAAACTTCTGCTCTTTAAAAGAGCATGAAAAGGCATAATATAGAAGAAAAGTAGGTAAAGCACATATAAAATTTGTTTATATACAAATAGTAATAACTATTACATGAGAAATAATATGACACTATTTTTAAAGCTCTGAAAAATAAATTATAAGAAAACAAACAACTGAATTAAAAATGGTTAAAAGATTTGAAGAGACACTTTAAGTTGCTGATGGCAAATAAGCAGATGAAAAGGTACTCAATATTACTAGTCACTGGAGAAAAGCAAAGTACACCACAATGACATACCCCTACACACCAATCAGAATGGCTGAAACTAAAAGAACTGACAATGCCAAGTGCTCGTGAGAGTGCAGAGAAACTGGAACTCATATATTCCTGGTAGGAATGCAAGATGGCACACATCCTTTGGAAGACAGTTGAACATATATTTACTGTAGGATCTAGAAGTCCAATTCCTGATATGTATCCAAGAGAAATAAAAATACATGTTCACATATGAATATTTATACAGGTTTTTTCATAACTGCCAACATCTGGAAACAACCCAAATGTTCTTCAATTGGCAAATGGGTAAAGAAACTGTGATATAACAGAACATAAACTACTGATACATACAGTAACATGCATGAATCTCAAATCTCAAATGTTTTATACTAAATAAAAGAAGCCAGACTTATAATGTTACACATTGTATGATACCATTTATATGATATTCTGGAAAAGATATAACTACAGGGATAGAAAAACAGATCAGTGGTTGCCAGGGGATGGGGATGGAGGAAGAGGCTGACTACTAAAAGGCACAAGGGAACTTTCCGGGGTGATAGAAATGTTCTATATTTCGATTGTTGTGGTGGTGGTTACATGATTGTGTTTGTCAAAGCTCACAGAACTGTACAGTAAAAAAAGGGTGAATTTCACTCTAATTTATAACTCAGTAAGCCTGACTTTAAGAAAACATAGCTTTACAATGAGTACACATGTAAAAAATATCAAGTTAGGCCAAAAAACGGAACTCTGTAGAAGCACTGTCATTTGGCTTAATAGAACCTCTCTAACGAGCAAGTATCTTTCAGCCCCATGTACACTTAGTCTACATTAAAACAAATGAAATCAGACAAGCAAAATAATAATACCATGTTTTAATCACAAATAGCATTTGCCTTAGCCATGAAATATTCACTAGCATTTTAAAGCTAAAAGTATTAATGAACTTAATAGTATCCACCAAATTCCCAAATTTTAAAAAACATATTTGAGGCCACATTGACACCAGCAAAGTCCTTCCACAGGAAGTCAGCTTTATTTAAAAGATTTTTTGGGTGGACTGTTTTCAAATCACTAGATATGAGTGACTAAACCACAGAAGGTACCTGCCAGCTTAGTGAACTGTCTTTGAGCTCCAGCTCAGAATTTAGCTTTTCTTCTCTCCCCAGTTCTTAAACTAAAAGTTCACATATATGGTACTAAGAATGCTATTTATTTGAGTCAAGAAACAGTCAAGGCTTGATGACTATATCCGACACCTGTTGCTGGGTTTATTGAATGGGGATGGGCTGATAGTCCTTGATGCTCCAGATATATTCTCTAGATGATAGTGATACATAATCTTTACCCTCTTCAAATTTTGAAATGCAAAGAGCAATGTCGTAAAGATTTTTTTTGTTTGAATAAGGATTGTATTTGTTTCTCTGGCCATTCTACCTTCATAGAACCCAGAAAGGGGTATCTCACAAATAAAGTGGCAAGTGCTAACAAGTTAGGAAGCTTAAATTAGTTTTTTTTAAAAAAACAAAAAACAAACAAAGAAAAACACCAGCATCGTCAGCAATCATCCCTTTGCAGCCCACAGGCCCATTAGCTCACTCTCAGGGGACTCCCTGGCTAAGCTACTCGGTGCACACTAGGGTCCGAGGCAGTGATGACTCACTGGCAAACACGAGATGCTCAACAAGCAAACATTCCCCAGACGCAGCCTTATGCTGAAGTGACTGGAGTGCTCCAAGTGCATCCAGCTTCGTGGCTTCTCTATTTCCCCCATGTTTTGGTATTCAACAAAATAACCCATCTCCTCATTAAGATAAGCTGATACAGGAGGCAGCAATACAGAAGGAATTAAATATAATGACATAACAACAAATAAAATGTGGAATACCTTGCTTTTAGCTAATTCCTTTTCCAAGTTGCATTTTTCTTCTGCTATTTCTTTCTCGGTTTTATTAACCTGCCCAAGAGAAGGGAAAAAAAGAAATGGGTCATTTTAAAAACAGCTGACAGGCTCTACTATAGCAGATACACCCTGCATGTCAATTAATACCTACACTGCAGAGATAGCACATCCACTCAGAAAAGGGGCCACTCGGGGAGTCTCTGAGGCAGAGCAGACTTCACAAATAGCCCTGAAATTAGAGAGACACGTCTACATGTCAGACTCTGCTGGTTCTTTCCTAACTAGGAAGACAGGGCTGTTTCCCCTTACATTGTTTCCGCTACACTGTCCCACTCCTACTGGGAAAATCGAGTTTTAAATCTGACTCCTTAACTAACATGAGGATGTGTGAATGGTTAGTTAACATTCACTCATGCTATATAAGGGTAACTATTTGGCACAGTGCGCTCACATGCTAAAAGACACAGATTAGCCACCCAAAGATCTCTTTCATGGGCAACTCAGACAAACTGCATCTGGGTTGTATTTCTTGTCTTTTGCACTTACAATAAAATTTTAAAACAAGATTACCACCACAACCAGGAGGTAACATAAATCTGCCTCTACCTACCTCTCTCTGAAGTCCTTCTTTCTCCTCTAGCAGAGAGGTCTTCTCTTGTATTGATGCTTCCAGTTCACTTCGCAATCTTGCAATAGTTGATTCTAGCAGCTCTTTTTGTACAGCTGCCCTCTTCTCAGCATCCTGTGCTTTCTGGATACACTGGTTATGCTCAAGGATTAAATGGTCCCTGCAGGAAGAGAACAAGGAGATATGAAAGCTGAACGAGAGTTCTTCTTTAACAGAAAGACTAAATGTTCTTACAGAACATATCTCCTGCCTGAGAGCAGTTACCGAAATGTTCTAACAAAACTAGTTGCTTTAGGGCAGTCTTTATTTTTGTGACTGGCCCAGCAAATGCAGAATTAAACATTTTCATTAAAGATAAGAAATACAAATGCAAAAACAAAAGATGCAAAAGTTGCCCACAGTTTACTTACAGATGCATTTGGAGTTGTGTTTTCTCATTCTGAACAGTCTGTAGCTCATTTGTGATACTGGCATGGGCTGCATCCAGCAGTAAGTTTTGTTCTTGAAATGTCTGTGTCATCATTTTCTGTTCTTCCTGAGTGTTAGAAGCAATATTAAAAGTTGAGATGCCAGAAGTCATTTGATAGGGTATCACTCTAAACAACTGATCAAAGATACTGATACTTACAAAAGACAAATTTAATTTATATAAATAAAACTCCTTTTTAAAAGAATTTATCTTAATGTCCAGCTTGCTCTTTGTACCTACCCTGACCTGACCACAATTCTATCATTTTATAGCTCTTCTAGCCAATAATCAAGATGCATTATTTATCCAGCTTGCTGCAAAATTTATAAAACTCCTAACATGAACAAATTTTTAGATACCATGTATAAAATAGACAACGGATAGGAACATACTGTATAGCACAGGGAACTCTACCTAATGCACTGTGGTAACCTAAATGGGAGGGAAGTCCAAGAGGGAGGGGATATCTGTATGTGTATGGCTGATTCATTTTGTTGTGCAGTGGAGGCTGACGCAACATTGTAAAGAAACCATACTCCAAAAAAGATTTTTTAAAAACTATATTAAGTATATTTTGGTACTTCAAAATTTCAACATGATACTATATTTTAAAAAGTAAAACAATATCAACGTATATAAAGTGAAATGATCGCTCCACCTCTATCTCCCCCACATCTCTTCCAAATAATTCCATTCTCCAGGGAAAATCATGTTTCATAGTTTAGTGTAAATTCTTTTGACAGTATCTGAAATTGCACTCAGATACTGCTACAGCAAAAGTCTATAACTGTTTTGCACAATTTTCTCTGGCTTACTATTTTCAATTATCAAAACAGCGTTTTTATGCACACCTCCTCTACCTACAATTTATAAAGCTTTTGTAAATATAGTACATATTAATAATTATATTTGTAAACATATTTTAAAACACTTCTTTTTGAACAATATTTGATTGCAAGGTAAACCTTCACACCTTCATACTTGGTAAAATGGGATCTCACTTGTGTCACATTCCAAAGTATTAAAATGTTTGTGAAAGTGTTACATACATAAGTCACATTATTCAGTCTACTAAATTGTAAGTTCCATGAAAGTAGGGACTTGTCTTGTTCACTGCCATAATTCTATCTAGATCTAGCAACATACTTGCATGAGATAAACACTAAATGCTTGCTGAATAAAAAATACTTATTGAGTACCTGTTATGTGCAAAACACGCTTAGCCCTATGGGTAATAACAAAGATATGTAAGACAATGTCCTAGGAATGTAGTACAGGAAATGAGCCAGGCACATAAACTACTACTATAGGATGCAGAACAAGAGAAGCAACATAACATAAATGATTAAAAACACTGAGTCTGGAGTCAAATCTAGATTTAAATGTGGCTCCACCCTATACTAGCTGGGTGATTTTGGGCAAGTTGATTAACTTCTCTAAATCTTATTTTTATTATCTGTAAAACAAGGATGACAAATATCCCTTTACGTAACTGCTAGGATTAAAGAAGGTAATATATGTAAAATCCTTAGCACAATGCTTGGTATGTAGTAAGTATGCTCAAAAAAAAAAAAAAAAAAAAGAGAGAGCCTTATTATTACAGCCTGTTTAGTGTCCTAGAAGTAGAAATTAAAAGACAAAACTGATTCTTTCTGATTGGTGTGATCACGCTTCTGGGTGAAAGTGAGTCTCAAAGAATGAACACAATCTCAAACAGTTGAAAATGAAGTAAAGACCATTCTCAGCAGAGGGAATGGCATAAGCAAAATGGGAAAGCACAGGTCTTTGGGGAAAAGGTAAATACTTTAGGGTCAGTCATAAGTATTCTCCATGATTCTATCAATACTGGGACAGGTAATTACTTTTCCTAAAGTAATGATATTTGAGAAGAAACCATTAAGAAAGCATTGAGTGTAAGGCCAAATGACCCCTCTGATGAAAACAGAAAACAATTAAAAAATAAAATAATTCAAAAAATCCTTGAAACTAATGCTAAAATATTTTATGTATCCAGTTGGCTATTTGTATTTCCTAATCTCTTAGCCAAGGAGGCTTCCTGATGACTCTACCAGAAATTAACTAGTGTTAAAAATGAATACCTGCAGAATGGCTTGGTGGTCAGCAATGATTCTGGTATTTTCCATTCTAACAGTCTGAAGCATTCTGTTCAGCTCTGAACACTTTCTAGTCAGTTGGTAATTCAAAACCTAAGACAACATATACAGCAAATCACAGATCTCTCCAATAAATAAGTCTTTTTACTTACGTATCATCATTTTTAACAATGGCATAGTATTTCACCATACATGTGAACCTAATTTATTTAACCTAATCCCAATTGATATTTCACTAGATTATAAAATACTTTCAAATATTGGCAGTCATCATCCTAAACAACTGTAAATTAAAAGGGGAAATTTGTTGATACAGTGGAACAACTGAAGCATTTGGCAGTTTACCAATCTTCCATTCTTCATAATTTTGAATGCTGGTCAATTACAGCAAGACATCTACAGAATGGAATTTACAATGTAGATGCATGGCCAATGTTTCATTCTCAAAACTGGATGATGAGCTTTCAGAATTGTTTAGCTGATAACAAAATATCTAAGCTCCTTCATCACCAATTACAGTATTCAAAAAAGCAAAATACAGATCACTGTGCCATTTCACAAGATTAACCTTCCAAAATAAAACAAAAATCTTTTCTGTAACACATCTATCATACATGTAGTTAGTTTATAATTCTCTTGCCCTTTTGGTATTTTGAAATTTGTATTCCTGTGGAAAATATTTATCTTAATTCTCAGTTATTTTTGCAAAGTATATTTGGTAAGGATCTTATGTTTTAATGTATAAACTCTTTAAGGATGGGGCAAATAACTCTGAAGGGTTAATAGAAAAAACACTCAAAAAAACAGTAACAAGAAAGGAGAGATAAAGATTATCTGGACAGCATCATAAGTGGGACAGCATCATAAGACAGAAATACATTCATGGGCATTTTAAAGTTATAACCAGATGCACAAACTACTTATCAAGGAATACTTGGAGGTAAGACAGAGGAGAACTCTTGCTCCTTGAAAAGAAATAGCTAATTTTCTTTACAGCTAGATTGCTGGGCTCAAATTCCAACTGTGTCACTTACTAGCTATATATATATATATTTTTTTTAATTTATTTTTGGCTGTGTTGGGTGTTCTTTGTTGCATGCTGGTTTTCTCTAGTTGCAGTGAGCAGGGGCTACTCTTCATTGCAGTGCGTGGGCCTCTCATTGCGGTGGCTTCTCTTGTTGCAGAGCACGGGCTCTAGGCTCAAGGGCTTCAGTAGTTGTGGCTTGCAGGCTCTAGAGAGCAGGCTCAGTAGCTGTGGCACACGGGCTTAGCTGCTCTGCAGCATGTGGGATCCTCTCGGACCAGGGCTTGAACCCTGTTCCTTGCATTGGCAGGCGGATTTTTAACCACTGTGCCACCAGGGAAGCCCTAGCTATATTATTAAACCTCTCTGTATATCAACTTTCTTATCTTTAAAATGGGAATAATAATAGTTCTAAAGAAGTGCTATTGAGAGGATTACAATTTGTTAGTAACATAAAGTGCTTAGAATTGTGCCATAACTGTAGTATGGATTCAGTGAATGTTAACTATCATTTATAGTAAGAGTAGTAGTAACTGTTATTATTTTATGAAAGATCACATTTTGTATTTTCTTTATCATAAAGAGAGCATAACAACACTATGATCCTAACATTGAAATAATCAAATTGTACTAACAAAAAATTCTTTTAAACGATCGATACTATTTCTTTGGGCCCTATGAGAAATAACTCAGTTGCTTGCATATGTGGTGACTCCTCTCCATGTACATGCATATACAGAAAACATCAGCTGAATTTGGGAACCACTATCCCACATAAAATGATTACACATAACTCCAAAATCAGCAAGTATTTATTAGGTTCCTACTGTGCTTTGCCATAGAAGATACAAAGAAAGTATAAGATAGCCCTTGGCATTGAACTGCTTAGAGTTTCATAGGGGGAAATAAAAGGCATATATTTAGTGAGTAAATTAGAAAGCAAACAACGCAAAGTTTAAACTAGTGCATGTTTTAGCAGTATATCTCAAATACCTACGTATCATAGGAATTTAGAGGGTGAAATGGGAAATGTAGTTAATTTGATGATGTTTCACAAATGAAGTAAACCTTATGGAAATAAAAATTTTGGATGATGGCAATGGTATGAATTCATGTAACCAGAATTAATCTTGGTTCTTGGTTCTTTAACTGAACAAAATTAACATCTAAACACTAGAGAAATGGGAAGATTTACCTGTGCTTCTTCTGATGCTTCATGAAGGGATATTATTTCAGACCTCAAATATGCATTTTCTTCATGTTCCTTGTTGAAAGACATCTGTATATTCTACAGGGAAAAAAATAAAAAAGAATTTCTCTTTTTCTACATGTAAAAGCTATTAACATGTATCTCTATCAAAATACCTGTTCTGTATTGTGGCTAGTACCAGTTCAAGTTCTAATATACATAGATAAGTGTCTTATAAAGGATTTTTTAAAATCTTGATATATGCAACTCCCAAACTTCTCTTAACTTATAAATTATTTATCAAAACTATTTATTAAAAATATTCTCATACTGGGACTCCAATTAGAAAGAATTTGCCTAAAAACAAACCTTGATATTTACCTAGTATCCTTATGTCAAAAAAATTCTACTCTCTAGGATGAAATATTTTTAGTTTATGTTACATACACATTTCTTCCTATTAGCAGCATGAGCTTATTATTTCAAAGAAACACATGCAAGGATCTTTTAAAATTATAAGTAGGGGAAGAGATTTTCATCAAAGAATACCTGAGGGTGGAGCAGAAGAAAGCACCTTTGTTCTGTGAAAAAAAATGTTCTCTTTGAGATGAGGGAAAGGCGATAGGGATGTGAGTTGTGGGCTGGGTTTTACCTAATAGGTACTTAGTCAAATGGGGAAGAACAAAGTCTAAGTCCTCTCCCTTCAGAGAGAGAACCACTTTTCTAGCTTTCCAGAAGAAGCATCTCAAGAAAAGTTAACATCATATAACATCTACACCATGAGATTGATTTAGAAATGTCTTGATATAAAAGTAGTAACATTTATTCTATTTTTTATTTTTTATTGTGGTAAAATACACATAACAAAATTTATCATTTTAACCATTTTTAAGTCTTTTTAATGAAATGTCTTTTTTATTGAAGTATAGTTGATTTACAATATTGCGTTAGCTTCAGGTGTACAGCACAGCGATTCAGTTATATATAATAATAATATTAATATTATATACAAATATAATTATATTATTATATAATTACATATAATAATATGTATTCTTTTTCAGATTCTTTTCCCCTGTAGGGGAAAGGGGCGGGGAAGGATAAATTAGGAGGTTGGGATTAACATATACACACTACTATATATAAAACAGATAACCAGCAAGGGCCTACTGTATAGCACTATACTCATTTTAACTATTTCTAAGAGTAAGTTCACTTAAAACTATTTAAGTGTTAAGTGTTAAATTCAGTGGTAGTAAGTACCTACATTCATGTTGTTGATAAACCATCACCAAAAATAGTTACTATTTCTTACATTTCATAAAAAAAGCTTCACAACAATTCATTTGCAATAGGTATAAAATGCAAATAAGTCTCATTAGTTTTGCCAATTCACCTTTTTTCAAACTATAATAATCTGCATGAAATACTTCCTAATACCCAGTTGACAACAGTTCTGGATATACACTCATTTACACTGAAACTTTTTTTAATAAAGATTTTAGGAGAATCAGAAGGACTGTAAACCAACACGAGTGAGGAAATACTATTTAGTGAAGAGATGAAAGAAAACCTCTGTACTCAAAACCTCCCTTATTTTCTTCAACCAACTTGGAAATGAGGTCATCTCTAGAAACTAAAAACAAAAAAAGTCCACATAACTATGATGATAACTTACAACTACATTGAAATCACATGGTATTTTCCCTGAGAAACTTTGATTTAAAAAAAATTTGTTTTAGTCTGTATTTTGCAGAAATAAGGAGAACGCAAGTATTTCTATCATATTTTTATAGACTGGAAACTAAATCCTGAAATTATCAAGAAACTAGTCCACAGTCACGTACAATGGTAAATGAGGTCACATTTTACTCAATGCACAGATGATGACGAGTCTGAGGGATTTCAAGACAGAGAGGCACACAGTCAAAAAGATCAAAAAGCCTTTTGTTAGATTACTCTGACCAAGGCTCAATAAAGACAGGGAGATCAGTTTAGTAGCTGTTGCAGTAACCCAAGTGTAAAACAATGAGAGCTGGCTCTGAGGTAATGATGCAGAAGGAAAAGACTTGTGAAAAGCAAGCAGGGAGAACTGTCAGGACTTGGTGACTGACCGGTGGGGTAAAGGCAGTAGATGAGTCAAGGAAAATATCTAGTGTACAGACCTGGACAGTGGGGGTGGTTGGTGGATTCTAACAGGGAATTCAGGGCAAGGAGCAGGTTTGGAGGATATAATAAGTAAAAATGACTGCAACACTTAAGCTTTCATCATGTGTTTTGAGGTATCTGCAAAGCATCTAAATATAGATGATTAGTTGGCAGTAAAATACCATCTGGAGCTCAGGAGGATGATTTGGTGTGGGAAAAAAAAAGATTTGAAACCACTCAGAGCACGTATATACAGTGAAAATAAAACCAAAGGCAGAAATAGGAGAACAGTTTGGCACTGTATACTAGTAGCCAAGAGATATAAACTTTTCTGAGGTTAATGTTTGGCTTCATAAAAAATTCATAAAGATCTATTAGTTTTGTTTCACTTAAAAATTCTAAAGCCAGAAAATTATAAAACACATAAAAACCCATTTTATTTATGATATACTCAGAAAAACTGTACTTCTTGAAAATGAGTCCAAGACTCGTTTTAAATAAATTCTAATTTAACATATATGAAGGATCAAAAAGATAAACTACATGATCTATTTTGAAAATTCCACTAATCAAAGAAAGACTAAAAGGGGAATGTTTATCCTACTTCGGAGAACAATTTAATCACTTTAATTAATGTGTGTGTAATACACACACATATACACACATATATATATAATGTTTATTGCTAATAAATAAAATAAACAATTATTAATAAATAAGTACACTTTAAAATTCATTGAAGCAAATAGCTAAAGGCATTCCTTTGATTAATCTAGTTAGAATAACTAGTTGTACCTTAAAGTAATAAAATTGCATGCATGTAAAGCATCTATTATTCAATATGAGCATATAGCTGGTATTCAGACAGGCTTCCTTTTTAAATGTTAATTTGAATTACTGTTATTCTAATCTCAATGTTTTTAATGGTCTTCCATATATTCTTACAAAATTCCAAAATAAAGCATTAATCCATTAAGAAAGTCATATTTTAAAAAATCACTTAATCAGAAGGACAACTAATATAATAGAAAGAGCTGTGTTTTAGTCCCAGCTATTCTGTTTACTGTGGGTCCTTCACTATAGATCTTTTTATCCTTTTGTAGAATGGCGTATATTTTCTTATCTTTCTCACAAGTTTGCTCTAAGGCTCAAATGGGATAATGTGGTAGTACAATAAAATGTAACGTATTTTTGTAGGCATGCCATCACAGGAAGGCAGAAAATTATTTAGGGGCATTATCAGTGGGAACTTCACAGAATAATTCATTACTCAACAACTATATGGAAAAAGAATACTTTCTGCTAAAAGCAATAAGTAAAAGCATTGAATGGATTACCCTTTATGTTTTTTTTTCTTTAATTTTCATTTCCCTTTTGGTATTCCCTGTCCTCATTACAGCCACAGAGCAGGGAAGCCACAGTGGCAAGAACATTGGGTTTGGAGTTAGAAGATCTAGGTTGAGCCTCACCTCACCATTTATTCATTTTGTAACTTTAGGAATTACAGATCGTTTTGTGTATTACATGAGATAATGTACGTGAAAGCCCTGTGTAAATCATGAAGTGTTATTCATGCGTAAAGCACTGCACTGGAACTCTGTGTGATCTCTATAGTGAGATCTACCTGAAAACTGCTGTTACAATTATATATTAACAAACAGTAGTCTGATAAGGGCTGTTGGGCTGGAAGAAGCATGTCTCTGAGCGACCTGGGATCAAGTCTAGACACTTCCATTTCCTAGCTCTGTCACCTTTTAGGACTCTTTTTTTTTAAAAACAGATGGTTTTTTCCTCCTCAAACGAGTAGTTAATCTAACCTCTCTTTATGGTACCTTACAACTAGCCATTTCTACAAATACAAGTTGACCACAATAGGTTGATAACCTGAAGAATGGAGAGTTTGACATGATAAATCATTAGAATCAGTAGGAGAGCAAGGATTAATGACCTCATTTCCTTATTAGCATTCTATTATCCAATATTCAATCTAGATTTATAGAAGCCAAATGTTCCCAAGTCCACAGTTAAATAAACCTGAAAAAAATCCACATAAGTTTACAATTAAGATGGTCAAATTCTATTTTATTACCAACATTCTCTGTCTTTCTCAGTGCCACAGATAAAAAGGAAATCAGCAACTTTTTACATTCAAGTCTGTGGGAAATACCAGTAACACTGGCCACTTCGAGAATTTGGAATCTTAAAGAGTTTTCACATGAAATCTCAAAAAACTAACAAAAGTGTAATTTCTAGCATCTGTTTTCATACCTAGATCAGACTTGAGCTGTGAGGTAGCGGTCTCCAACTCCCCTTTCTGTTGTCGCTCCTGTGCCAGTAGTTCTTGGTTGGTCTGAATAGAAATGCGTTAGGGCAATGCAGTTTTGCTGCAAAATTTGCACCTGAAATCGTATAAGAAAAACTCCTTTTCTGTAAGGTAAAGATTTCTACTAAGCTAACTTATAGCACAGGCGTAAGGCAGATTTTTCTGATCTTAATGTTCCTGGAGGAAGAAGCGGTGTTTATGTGTTACAGTTAAAGATCTCAACAGAGTGCAGTGTCTTACAGCAGTGCTGTCCAGAAGAACTTTCCGTGCACTCTTCAACAGTGTCTTACAGCAGTGTCTTACAGCAGTGCTGTCCAGGAGAACTTTCTGTGCACTCTTCAATAGCACTCAAAATGTGGCCAGAGTGAGTGAGTAATTGAATCTTTAATTTTGTTTAATTTTAACAAATAAAATTAATTTTTATTTAAATAGCCACATGTGGCTAGTGCCTACTATATTCGCACTCTAAAGTATAGTAATAAAGGATCATTTGCAAATTCTTTAAGTAGAAACCTCTTTATAATTCCATTGTGAAGGACAGCACTCATTAAAATAATAAAAATTATGTAATCTAATAATAGGTATTATGATTTGAAACTACTAATTGCCTTGGTACTTAGAATTTAAAATATTCTAAATTACATATAGATATTTCAAATAACAACTTTGATGAAAGCAAAAATATTATGCTAAAATAAATAATGAGCCTTGAAAACAGCAATGTAAACACATTCCTGATTATTTGACTTATTCCTTGCTTCAAATGTCAGCTCAGTTTAATCTTTCTTTTCTATGCACATCATATACAATACATATAACATGAGACTAGGTCAGTGCCTTCTAAAATCAATTCTTATAACAGAGATTATATGGTGTAGAGGGAAGGATTCCTTCCCAGGAACTAAGAGTTCACTTCTGTAAAGCCTGAGACAAAATAACCTCTCTGTCCTTAGCTCCCTCATTCATAAATTAAGAGCGCTGGACTAAATGGTGTCTGAGTCCTTTCTTATTTTGCACTAAAATTTTAAAAATTGTAGTAAGAATGTTAATAAAGGAATACTAAAGAAAAGAATTTAGGGCTTCCCTAGTGGCACAGTGGTTGAGTCCGCCTGCCGATGCAGGGGACATGGGTTCGTGCCCCGGTCCGGGAAGATCCCACATGCCGCGGAGCGGCTGGGCCCGTGAGCCATGGCCGCTGAGCCTGCGCGTCTGGAGCCTGTGCTCCGCAACAGGAGAGGCCACAGCAGTGAGAGGCCCACGAACCACAAAAAAAAAAAAAAAAAAAGAGAGAAGAATTTAATAAATCTAGAGGAAATAAGCAAAACTACAGGTTTGTAGGTAAAACATTAGCTTTTCCCTTTTGTTTTCACTTTCCCAACATAAACAAGGAGAGAAAATCTCTCTACCTGTTTCCGTTCCACCTCCACTGTTGATCCCATTTCTTGTATTTTGAGTAGCATGGCTGATCCAGGTTTCTCAACAGATTCCCTTAGGTGCTTCTCTTGAGACAGTTGTCTCCTTAGCTATAGAGCAACACTGCAGTTAGGCAAGACCAAGGGAACTTCATAGCAGTTTAACAAAGATCAAAGTCACCATGAAAAGTTTACCAGACATGCCAACTCACCCCCATTCTTCGTTCATTTATGATTACTCAGAAACATGCTTTTGTTTCTCCCTAACGGATAACCTTCTAGGAAATGCAGAGTCAAATTTGTTACCCTCATCTTCCTACTGTGTTAAGTCTGTTTTCCAAACTGTGGGTCAAGACGCATTAGTAAGTTGCAAGAAGCACTTGAAAAAGGCGGGGGAGAAAAGAATAGAAAGAAAATATCAGAGCACATAGCAAGTGGTAAGGAAGGGTAAGTACTGCTTCATGAAATGTTTGTGTATATGCATGTATGTATGGTGTTGCAGTGTAAAATATGTCTTACAATGTATTGCTGTCAAGTTTGAAAAACACTAATATGTCTTAGTATATGTATTTTCTGTATTTCTCTATTTTCTAACTTTATTTTTTAACTCTTTATTTTCCTGTATTGTGATTTATTCACATATATATATATATATATATATATATATATATATATATATTTATCCCATATTGGAACTTAAAGATCAAAACAAATAATGAAGTAGTTGTCAAGCAGCAGACAAAAACAACACTCAAGAATTTGGGTACACTGACCTTATTTCTATCAATAAATGACTATAAAATGAGTCAGATAAAGATAAAAAGAAGGTTAAGAGTCTCTTTTATCATGAAGTAAAGAAATCCTTTCTAATTTAAATGGGAACTGAAAAATGCTGTTCCTTTTATGAAGTGACGTTAAATTGAAAGAATTTCTTTTTTAATTTATTTACTTATTTATTTATTTTTGGCTGCGTTGGGTCTTCGTTGCTGCGCATGGGCTTTTTCTAGTTGCGGTGAGTGGGGGCTATTCTTCATTGCAGTGCACGGGTTTCTTGCTGTGGTGGCTTCTCTTGTTGTGGAGCACGGGCTCTAGGTGAGCGGGCTTCAGTAGTTGTAGCGCACGGGCTTAGTTGCTCCACAGCATGTGGGATCTTCCCGGACCAGGGCTTGAACCCATGTCCCCTGCATTGGCAGGTGGATTCTTAACCACTGCACCATGAGGGAAGTTCCAGAAATTCTATTTTTAAACCCCAGTAAACATGATGTAAGAGTACACTTTATAACTCTTCTCTACATTGTACATATGTACTTTATGTGTTTTCTTGAAGGATGATATATTTAACAATTTCAGAAGTTTTTAAAAAGTGAAATGAGATGAAAAATATGTTGACATGAAATAGTTACAAGATAGCCCGTTTTGGAAATGTTCTATGATTTTCTTAACCATACACCTAACACTGAACATTTGGATATTTCCAGTGTTTTGCTATTCTAAATACTGTTCTGCTGAACATGCTTGTGAATAAATCTTTCATTGAATTTCTGATTATTTCCTTGGGATAAATCCTACAAAAGGAATCACTAGGTTAAAGGTATAAACATTTTTTAGACTTTTGATACATTTTGTAATTCTCCTTCCAATTTTACCTTATCAGTAGTATTTGAATAAATATCATCAGCAATACAGATTATCACTTTCTTAAATCTTTGCTAATAAATGAAAACAACCCCTTAATATTTTTTTCATTTCTTTGGTTCCTAGTGAGATTAAACATTTTCTAATATGGTTATTAGTTCTTTATATATTTTCTGAACTGTTCTTATCCTTTGCCCTCTGTTTTTTTTAGTCAATTTAAGTTCTTTAAAAGGGAAGATTATTAACTGTCTAGTTTTGTTATGTTTCATTAGTTTTGTTTTATACATGTATAAGATTTTAATTTTTATATGGTCAAACTTATCGAGCTTTTTATAATCTTGTTCCTTCTTTTCAAGATTAGAAATTCCTTCCTTATCCAATAATCAGTTAAATATTAATATTAGAATCTTATTTAAGAATGAGCTATAGTTTTTGCTTTGGGCTATATTTTTCAGGTTTTATTTTAGTATCAGATTATAATCACTTTATAATTTAGAGTAGCATAATATACTTTTCTAAACTCTACATCGAATTATATAGTATAATTTGCTCAAGATATAATTTAAGTGCCTTATAAAGGGAATCTTTATTTGATAATTATACTACTAAGATATTCATCCCTAAAGCATTATGAAGGGCTATCAGTTAATCTATTTCATGTTCATCAGAACCAGATTTTATATATATATATATATATTTATCTCTTAGAAAGATATATACTGCATTTACTTTATCTCTGTATAGTCCTTTATTATGGGCTGAATTGCATCCCTCTGAAATCCATATGTTGAAGGCCTAAACCCCAGTATCTCAAAATATGACTGTGTTTGGAGATAGGGCCTTTAAAGAGTTGTTTAAGTTATGAGGCCACTGGGGTGGGCCCTAATCCAACATGACTGTTGTCCTTATAAGAAGAAATTTGTACACAAAGAGACACCAGGGATGTGTACACAGAGAAAAGACCATGTGAGGACACAGAAAAAAGACAGCCATCTGCAAGCCAAGGAGAAAGGACTCAGGAAAAAACCAAACCTGCTGATGATATCTTGATCTTGAACTTTTCACCTCCAGAATGGTGAGACATAAATTTCTGTTGTTTAAGCCACCAGTCTGTGGTACTTTGTTATGGCAGCCCCAGCAGACTAACACATCCTTCCTGCTTCACATACCCTCAAAATGTCCCTATTTGACTAGCACAGTCCTTCTTCAGGTCCTTGACAAGTTCAATAAAAATTCAATATTTTACTACAGCACCAAGAATTAAGACTTCCCCAATAAAAAAATAATGTTAAGTGGCAATCCAAAGGATAGTCTTTTCAACAAATGGTGCTGGAACAACTAGACATACACATACACAAACTCACCCAAAGAATCTAGATACAGACCTCACACCTTTCACAAAAAATAATTCAAAACCTAAATGTAAAATGCAAAGCTATAAAACTTCTAAAACATAACATAGAAAAATCTAGGTGACCTTGGGTTTGGCAATGATATTTTATTAATAGATATAATACCAAAAGTACAATCCATGAAAAAAATGGATAAGTTGTACTTCATTAAAATTAAAAGCGTCTGGGGCTTCCCTGGTGGCGCAGTGGTTGAGAGTCCACCTGCCGAGGCAGGGGACACGGGTTCATGCCCCAGTCCGGGAAGATTCCACATGCCGCGGAGTGGCTGGGCCCATGAGCCATGGCTGCTGAGGCTGCGCGTCCGGAGCCTGTGCTCTGCAATGGAAGAGGCCACAGCAGTGAGAGGCCCGCGTACCGCAAAAAAAAAAAAAAAAAAATTAAAAGCGTCTGCTCTGCAAAAGACACTGTTAAGAGAATGAAAAGATAAGCTACAGATTGGGAGAAAATATTTGTAAAACACAAACTGGATAAAGGATTGGTATCCAAAATATAAAAAGAACTCTAAAAACTCAACAATAAGAAAAAAACCCAGCTGCAAAGTGGGCAAATGATCTAAGATACCTCACGAAAGAAGATAGACAGATGGCAAATAAGCATATGAAAATGTTCAATATCAACTCTGTAGAAAACTGCAAATTAAAACAAGATACTATACACACGCCTATAAAATTGGCAAAAATTCGAAACACTGACAACACAAAATGCTGGTGAGGATGTGGAACAACAGGAACTCTAATTCACTGCTGGTGGGAACACAACATGGCATAGCCACTGCAATAGGTTGGCAATTTCTTAGAAAGCTAAACATAAGCTTATCATAAGTATGAATCATACTGCTAGGTATTTATCCAAAGGAGTTGAAAACTTATGTCCATACAAAAAACTGCATATGAATGTTTACAGCAGCTTTATTCATAACTGCCAAACTTGGAAGCAACTAAGATGTCCTTCAGTAGGTGAATGGATAAACTACAGTACATCCAGACAGTGGATTATTGTTCATTGATAAAAAGAAATGAGTTATCAAACCATGAAAAGACATGGAGGATTAAATGCATATGCTAAGCGAAAGAAGCCAGTCCAAAAAGGCTACATGCTGTATGATTCCAACTAGAGAGACAGTGAAAAGATCAGTGGTTGCCAGGGGCTTGGGGAAAGACAGGGGTCGGGGAGGGAGGCGTGGGGTGATGTGTATGTAGAGCACAGGGCATTTTTAGGGCAGTGAAACTATTCTGTATACTGTGATGACCAAAAAGTAAAACTTAATCTAAACTGTGAATTTAGTAATCATGTATCAAAACTGGTTCATCACAGACTAATACAGAATGTGAATAATGGAGGAAGCTCTGGGGGTGGGGAGAAAGGATATATGGGAACTCTGTTTCTGTGCAATTTTTATAAAAACTTAAAACTGCTCTAAAAAGAATCTATTAAAATAGCCAAAATATTTTTTTAAAGTATGAAACAATATACTCCAACTAACAATGAACAATCATGCTTTTATCAGTAACTATTGGCAAATAAAATACTCTACATGAGAGAATGTCCCAGATAGCTACACTCACCACCCTAAACACACTGAAATTCATAATTTTTAAAATAGTATATCTATTTCTCTGTTTTGTATAACAGGATATTTTAAATATAACTTGATCCTTTTGATTTGGACTAATGTCAACTATTATTCTGTCAGGGAATATTGAGGTTTTTAGGCCACTGTCAAGGTGTATTGAATTGGTAATTCTTCTGACTCTTCCACTGTTTTCAGCTGCAAAATTTTAGTCCAACAACTTTTAGCAGCCACCTACTCCATAATTCCAATCTGTTATCTACTTAAATTTAGACTGAAATGAAAGTTTTAAGGTAAAATTAGATGAGCAGACTTATTAAAAGCTTTTTATTTTAAACACAACTTTAGTGTAAAAGGTCTTTGTATGTCCACTTAACTCTAGTATATGGGCAACTGCATGAGTTTCATGGTAACTGTTTCCCTCCCGGCTCAGAGAGCATTTATTTTTTATTTCTGGGTTTGTGGCAGTATTGAGGTGAAAGGAAGTCTTAATGTCACATATGGGCAGGTATAACTTCATGTGGCATACTTTTAAAATCTTCCTAATAAACAGCCACATATTTTCTTCTTCAATGGTTTCTTTTCATTCTATCCACTTCCTTGACTTCCCCCTCTGCAATTCCAACGTTCCCTTCACCTTCCTTTTTTTTTTTTTTTTTCTTTTTTTTTTGCGGTATGTGGGCCTCTCACTGTTGTGGCCTCTCCCGTTGCGGAGTACAGGCTCTGGACGCGCAGGCTCAGCGGCCATGGCTCAAGGGCCCAGCCGCTCCGCGGCATGTGGGATCTTCCCGGACCGGGGCACGAACCCGCGTCCCCTGCATCGGCAGGCGGACTCTCAACCACTGCGCCACCAGGGAAGCCCCCAGCTTCCTTTTTATCTTACCTCCTGAATTTTAAGGTTCATTTTACATTTTGTGGTCTTCAGTTCCTCTTCAATAATGGCTGCATTCTTCTAAAATAGAAGGAGAAAAGGTTCTAAATAATCTGAAATGATAAGAAGAAACTGTCTATGGTATATCACAGTTCAAATCTAGACTTTTTGGGGGCAACCTATAAATGCTATTCTGAATACAGTTATAAACACTTCTTATTATGAGTCTAAAGTAATTATTACAATGAGATATTTAAAGTTATTTTATTACTTTGATTCATGACTTCTATCATTTTCCCTTTCAGATAATTAAAAATTGATTAGTCACATGTACCTCCTATGTAAAATTCAATAATCAGAGGAAAACCTAGTAATTGCTAGACGTTTTTCTTACAGGGTATATTCCTATTTTTTTAAGTACTCCATTTTTCCTAGCCTCAAATATTACCTATGCTTAGGAGTTGAGGATGAAAAACACAGCTTTCACTATTCATTCTTTTATATTATTATTAATGGCACTACAATCTAAGATGTAAAAACTCAAAGCTGTCTTTGCCTTATTCTCTACCTTCAGCCCCTATCCAATACCACATTCTAACATATCTTTCCTCTCAAAATGCCACAACCGTAGTTCAGACCTAATAAAGTCTATGTCTCAAATAAGGCAATGGATTCCTAATTGGTTTTCCTATCTCCAATCTCTTCTCCTATAATTGATACTCTACACTACTGCTAGATTAGTTTTCTTGTTTTCATTATGTCACTTTCTTATCAAAAATTTAATCACTCCCCATAGGATCAAGCCCAACTACTTGATTATTCTTGATTTTGAGATCCTCTATGACGTTATCCCTAGCCAATTTCCAACTTATTTTACACAAACAAATCCTCACTCCTGTCCAGCTAGTTTATGCATTTCCTCCTAACTGCACCCAAGGGAAAGATCTAGGCTCAAATCTGAGTTACACGAAGAAAACAGGCAAATGTGATCTCGGAGAGGTGACTTCTCTCTGATCCCCAGTACACTTATCATTAAAATAGAGACAATAGGGCTTCCCTGGTGGCGCAGTGGTTGAGAGTCCGTCTGCCGATGCAGGGGACACGGGTTCGTGCCCCGGTCCGGGAAGATCCCACATGCCGCGGAGCGGCTGGGCCCGTGAGCTATGGCCGCTGAGCCTGCGCGTCCGGAGCCTGTGCTCTACAACGGGAGAGGCCACAACAGTGAGAGGCCCGTGTACCGCAAAAAAAAAAAAAAAAAAAAGAGAGAGACAACAATATCCTACATCTTGAGGTTTTGCAGAGATTAAACAAAACATGTTTTAAACAAAATAACATCTGTTACACTGCCTGGCCTGTGAAGGGAAAACAAAATCATTAGTTTTTTTCCCTAGTCTTATTTTTTGCTGCCTCTGTGTGTGGTCTTTTAAATGTCCTCACCTCACTGCTTTGCCTTCTAAAGGTTCATCTCAACTCCCGTCTCTTCCTTGAAGCCTAGCCTAATCTATTCTAGACAGGACATGCGCACCTTCCCAAACCCACCTGAATATAGAACACTTAGTTGGCAATATTTGCTTATTGTCCTATACGGTCCTTTAATAGTTCTTATACCCTTATTTTCTCTCTTTAGTTTCTCCTGCTATGCCTTGTTCTCCTAGATAGCATATAAGCTCTTGAAGAGCACAGACTCCCTCATATCTCGGATCCGCACAGTCACATGTAGAGGGTAGGAATCTATAAATACTCAATTACTGACAGCACACAATGTTATAGGCTATCGATGTAGATAAATTACAGATGTCAAGAATCCTCACACCAACATCACCTATTTTTAAAAGTCAGTTTTATGGGTCTGTTGCCTCCTCCAGCTAACACTTTAACAGTGAGTTTGTATTCCAGAACTCTGGACTCAAACCTTTGTCTCTGAGGCAAGCTGCAGAGTCACAGTCAACCTTTGCACCTCATCTTGTGCCTTGTCTTCTTTCTCTTTTACATCTCTTAGTTGCTGGCGCAAATTCATCACTTCCAGTTGCAACAGCTTCAGGTCCCTGGAATGCTCCTCCTGTATTCAGTTTTTCCTTCAGAAAATCTATCAGACAGGACAGGAGGGTCATCAAGCAGATTAAAGAAGGTCAGGAAAGGAAAAGAATCATGAACTCATCAAGCACCCACATAGGACCGAATTTCTGATGATTCTCTTCTCTCTACACCTGTTTTCTGTGGGTTCAAATCTTTTTCAGTTTGCAGACGAAGATGTTCATCTTCAAGGACTGGATGAGGCTTTCCAGACGGCACATTCAATTTACCAGAAACTCACAGTTCTTCCATAAAATATCTGTTTTTCCTGAACAAATTATTTCATTCTGGATAGGGCTAATGATGTTCTGGCTCACAGGCTCCTCTAAACATTTTGGAGTTTGCAAGTGGCCTCTGGACAAAGATCCCAATATAACAATATTATAGGGTAATCCCAACCATCGAATCAATGTAACATTTCTACTGAGTATAAAAACTATATTCTTTAGTTAACCAGTATCTGATAGCCTCTGCAAATTTAAACATAGAGAGCACTATTAGGTAAAGAGGATGAGACCAATGTGGGATGGGTAAAGACCACTGATTTTTTTTTTTTTTTTTGCGGTACGCGGGCCTCTCGCTGTTGTGGCCTCTCCCGTTGCGGAGCACAGGCTCCAGACGCGCAGGCTCAACGGCCATGGCTCACGGGCCCAGCCCCTCCACGGCACGTGGGATCTTCCCGGACCGGGGCACGAACCCACGTCCCCTGCATCAGCAGGCGGACTCTCAACCACTGTGCCACCAGGGAAGCCCAAGACCACTGATTTTTTAATGGTTATTTTAATTGGAATTTTTTGTAAACTTATTTTGTATGTAAAAGCAAGTGATATATAAAACATGTTAAATGCTAATTCTATAATGGTAAACTAAGAATTGAAGTTAGCGTGGAGGCAGTATTTCACATCCTTTTTAGAAAAGTTTTAAACAAGGTGATAATAAACATTCCCATTTTGTTCTAACATACTCAACACTGGTACAAATTTAATCTTTGCTGAAGAGTTATTTATTCTATGTGTGCTATACCAACTATACTAATTTTAGGTCTTCATAAGAGACATTCAGGAAATACATACGTAATTTTAAAGAAAATCACACCAGTAAATTCAGCATTGGCCACTTAAGCACCCAGATTCCTCAAGGCCTTTGACAATCTAACTTTTAATGGCAATAACTTCTCCAGGAGTACAAAGGAAAAACACAGTTCTTCTTTTGAGTACTTCATTCTAAACTATGAATTTTTTGTAAGACTTATAACCTCTCTTTTAATTCACAATAAATCTGGAGAAAGAAAATACAGACCATATTAATGCATGAATCAAGTTGTAGATGTTCACCTTAACTAACATCAAAGTCTATTCTTATTTTTAAAAAAGGACCAAATTTTTTTTTCTAATTATATAAAAAATTACATTTGTTTTTAATCAAGTATTGAGGGAGAATAGGATATCGAAGTTTGTGCACCTAATTAACACACTTTAAAAATCTGTTTAGAATAGTGGTAGTAGCTCCATTACCGCAGGACAACTCTTTATCTTGCAAATATTTTCTAATTAATATTCTAATGTTATTTCTCAATTCTTTTCTAAGTACCTATTTCACCTGCCAAACCACCCACACTGTGACTCCTTATGAGTAACCAGTGAGGCAAAATTCTTCAACCTACAAAGATATTGTGACACAATTTTTTAATTTGTTACCTTTTTTCACCAAAGTCCAACATTATTAGGTCATTCCTCAGAGAACTGGTCTGTTCCTCAACTATTCTCATCCTTTGCTGAAGTACCATGAATGTTTCAGAAGCTGTAGCATTGATGCGGGCTGGACAGAGGACTGGTCTGGACATTGTAGTTTCCATATGCACCTGAGATTAAAGTCACAATATTAGTGTAGTTGGTTCTATTATTGTTCAAAATAGCCACTGCCCCTTCCTGTGGAGGATTATACATCCCTGTCCTGTTGAGCTTGGAAATGGCATGTGTCCTGCTTTGGTCAATTAAATGTGGGTAGAAGCTTTAAGAGCCAACTTGTCATTCATCATCTCTTTTCCCTTCTCCATGCGATGAGCAACAACCCAGATAGGGCCTGCTCCATGTGCCAAGATCCCAGAGTAAAGATTACATGAGCAGAGCCATGGCCCATCCATGACATACAGTGTGAGTGAGCAAGAAACTAATGTTGTTACAAGCCGCAGATTGTTAGGGAGTTTGTTACTGCAGCACAATCTAGTCTATCCTGTCTGCTATGAGACATACACTAGGACCTATGACTTGGCTGAAGGAGTTATTACCTCTTTTCATTGCCAGCCATTTTCATTTTAACACATTCCCATCCAACCTTTCTGAAAACAAAACAAAACAACACTCTACAGTACTTGGATCTCCGAGCAGTTGTCATAAAATAGATTTACCAACTACCTTGAAGCAGTGACTTTTAAAAATAACTTGCAAACATAACTTCATAGCAAAGACTCTTTTACACCTACTGACATCAAATTTCCAGACTCCTCCCGCAAGACCACATGAGAGTAAATGGGAGTAGTGAGACTACTCTTTCAGGTATTAGTGACAGAAGCAGAATCAGCTTATAAGCAGTCCCAACATTTAAACGAATCATGTGCCCAAAGTTCAATGACAAGATCATTGGTGGAAACTTTTAGGACATTTTCCTGCAACTCTATCCTATACAAACATTTCTATACTAATCAAACCATAAACCTTAAGCATCACTAGCAATAGTGTATCTGTGGGAATGTGTTCACAAAGGCCCCACCTGGAATATTCGTAATACACCTTCCTCTCCCACTTGCTGTGTGATTAGATACCTCCCTGAGGTATCCCAGGCAATGGAAGTGGGGACTCCCTCAGGTTCAAATCACTGAAGGTGGCCCCCAGGACCCAGGGAAGGAATTAAAGAAGTCTTAAAACTGGTGGCAGGATTTAAGGGGGCACCAGCGTAAAGGCTGAGCTTCTTGACAATGTAACACTGTTACAGCCACTGAGGACAGCTCTTTAACCATCTTCTATTTTTCCCCCACAGGTCCCAGAATATGGTCTGTTTCTCTCTTTTTACTTAAAACAAAACAAAACAAACCCCAAACAAACAAACAAATACTTTACTGAGGAATAGTTGACAAATATAATTGTATACATTTAAAGTGTAACATGATGATTTTATATACATATACCTTGCAGAATGGTTACCAAGATCAAAATAATTAACACATCCACATAATTAACAACCTCACACAGTTAACATAAGTAACTTTTTTTCTTTGTGGTAAGAATACTTAAAGATCTATTCTCAGCAACTTTCAAGTATACAATATCATATTATTAACTATAGTCACCATGTTATACATTTGATCCTCAGAATGTCTTATTTGAAAAGGCAACCTACAGAATGGGAGAAAATATTTGCAAACCATATATGTGATAAAGGATTAATATCCAAAATATATAAAGAACTCATAAAACTCAGTAGCAAAGGAAGAAATAATCTAATTAAAAAATGGGCAGAGGGCCTGAATAGACATTTTTCTAAAGAAAATATACAGGTGGCCAACAGGTACATGAAAAGATGCTCAACATCACAAATCATCAGGGAAATGCAAATCGAAATCACAAGATAGCAGCTCACACCTGTTAGAATGGCTAGTTTTAAAAAGACAAGAGATAACAAACGTTGGCAAGGATGCGGAGAAAAGGGAACCTTATGTACTGTTGGTGGGAATGTAAACTGGTACAGCCATAATGGAAAACAGTATGGAGGTTCCTCAAAAAATTAAAACTTGAACTACCATATGATCCAGCAACCCCACTCCTGGGTATATATCTGAAGGAACTAAAATCAGTATCTTGAGATATCCACATATCCATGTTCACTGCATCATTATTCACAATAGCCAAGAGATGGAAACAACCTAAACATCCTTCAGTGGATGAACAGATAAAGATGTGATATATATATATATATATATATATGGAATGTTATTCAGCCACATGAGAGGAAATTCTGCCATTTGCAGGATGAACCTGGAGGGCATTATGCTAAGTGAAATAAGCTGGACAGAGAAAAAATAGTGTGTGGTATCACTTATATATGGAGACTAAAAACCAACCAAACAAAAAAATCTGATTTCACAGAAACAGAGAATAGAATGGTGGTTGCCAGGGGCTGGAAGATAGGGGAAACGGAATGATGTAGGTCAAAGGGTACAAATTTTCTTTTTATTCTTATTTTATGCTCCTGACCAAGATTTCTCTCCTTTGTGCTCCTCTATAAAACAGAATGCACTTCTGACACACATAACCTTTTTGAATTCTTTAGATTTTCTGTTAACAATCAGCTTAAGGACAAGGGGTAAAGAAGTTCTCTTCTATTAACTGCTTTTCATGCTTTCAATTCATTCTTGAAGGGAATGACAAAAGTAGACACAGATATTAATAGAGTCTCTGGATACACAAAGATATGAAGTAAGGTTCACCTACATTTCTGAAAAAAGCCAGGTTTGGAGTTTCCTGCTCGTTACCACATGGGCCAGGATAGTGTCCCTCAGGTAAAAGGAAGAAGAACCTCAAAGACAAACCTTAGGGCCTGTTCTACTGCCATGAAACCAGGGCTAGGGTTGGGGGAACCACCAATAGTGTGGGGTGGGAAGAAAATAGAGAGGTAACAGTGAAGAAACACCAGATGGGTTTACCCTCCACTCCATTTTCTGTCACCTGCTGTCTGGCTACTGCCAACATAGAAATAAACCAGGCCTGGGGTTGGGAGAAAAAGTATGGAAAGGGTGTTTAATGGGGTTTGTGACAGGCAGTTGGCTCCTTTGTCCTCCCGCCAAAAGAAGTTGAAAAGTTCATGTCTCCTTCCTCCCTTACAGCTGGCACATCCATGTGACATATCCTGGCCAGTGAGACTTTAGGCAGAAGTTTGCAAGAAGCTTCTGGGAAGACTTTTTTTTTTCCTGATAAAAAGAACAGAAATGATGGCACCTGTCCTTTCCTTCCCCTGTATGATGCCCGGAGCTCTGAGCGCTCTCTTTAGGTCAGCCATGCAGTACCTCACTGTTAAATGTAAACAAAGAGTCTGGGATCACCAGCATCTGAGAAACAAGGAAAAGGCCAGAGAAGCTCAGATTAACCTGACTTACTAGTAACCTCCAAACTTTGCTTATGTGAGAAATATAAACTTTTGTTTAGTCACGCTTTCCTGTTGCTTGCAACAAAAGCAGTCCTGGAATACATTGTAGTCCCAGATAATAGTTGGTAGAGAGATGGGAAGAAGGAGGAGGTAAAGAAAATGACAAGCGGTGCTGGAGGTGGGAGGGGAGGGCAATTTCTGTGGCAACTTGTTAGGCCCAGGGAGCTGGTTATAATATAAAGGACTGTCTAATTAATTTATGTCACAAGTCAGATACATAATACTAACACAAAGATAAAAGTTCATTTTTGGTGGGCAAGTTCAGTCAGGTATTGGGCATCTTTCCTGTTTTAAATTTAACATTTCCAAAACAACTCTTGATCTTTCCCCCTGAAACTTGTTCTTCCTAATAGGCTTGCATTGTCTCAGTTAATGGCAACACCGTGCTTCCAGTGCCTCCTTTCTCATCTAATCTATCAACCAAACCTATCTTTAAAATATGTCTGGACTCTGACCACTTCTTACTGTTCCGTTGCTAGTACCCTGGTGCTAGCCAGTGGCATCTCCCCTGGGTTATCATAGTAGCTTTACAACTGGTCTTCCTACTTTGCTGTCGTCTTGGCAGATGTCTTGGTAGATGGCTACCATCTAGGCAGACTGATCCAGTTAAAAGTTAAGGTAGATCACAACACTTCTCCACTCTAAACCTTCCAATAGCTCTGAAAGTAAAGGCAGACCTTTACAATAGCCTTTAAGGCTCTAAGTAACCTGTCCTGTTATTACTCTCTGACCTTATCTCCCACTATTCTCTCCTTCACTTTGTGCTTCCCAGTCAAACTGACCTCCTTACTGTTTGTGGACCCATCAGGCCTTCTGAATTAGGGTCTTTGCACTCTCTGTTCACTCTTTCTGGACCTTTCTGTCCCATCCAGATGTCACTCCTGTACCTCCTTCACAGGTCTTTGCTTAAATATCATCTCAGTGAGGTTTCCTTTGACCGCTCTGTTTAAAATGGAAGCCTGCACCACAGCCTCCCTCCCATCCTCTTTCCTACTTTTTCTCCATTGTACTTATCACCAGTGAACAAACTATATATTTTACTTATTTCCTCAACTGGAATATAAGCTCCAGGAGGGCAGGGAGTTTGTCTCTTTCGATCATTGCTGCATTCCCTGGTGTCAAAACAGTTTCTGGCTCATGGTAGGCGTTCAGGAAATGTTTATTGGACATATGAGTAAATGAAGAAAATATTACTGACCAAATTATTTTCCAGTGGTTGTGGTAAGCAACACTGAGTTCCTGGCCTGTTACTTTGGAACCAGCAGCATATAGTTGTAGCTATTGCCACATATAAGAATGGAGGCTGTGTCTACAGAAGCAAGTGTTGCCTTTTCAAAGCCACCTGGCTTTTACTAGTATATTACTTATGACATTTGTTTTATTCATGCCATGCTTTCAGTGAGGTAACCTGAGCTCTCTGGAAATACTTTCCCTAAACACAGAGACAGCACTGTATTAATTTGATAATGATATATTTATGAAAGTAATTGTGAATTAACTTTTTTAAAAATAAAAGCTTAGGGCTTCCCTGGTGGCGCAGTGGTTGAGAGTCCGCCTGCCAATGCAGGGGACACGGGTTTGTGCCCGGTCCGGGAGGATCCCACATGCCGCGGAGTGGCTGGGCCTGTGAGCCATGGCCGCTGAGCCTACGCGTCTGGAGCCTGTGCTCCGCAACGGGAGAGGCCACAACAGTGAGAGGCCCGCGTACTGCAAAAAAGAAAAAAAAAAAAAAGCTTATATCTTAGTATTTTTATTATCGTTGCTATCAAGCATCAGGGCTTAGGTTCAAGGCTGCATTCAATGATATTTACTCCTTTTCAAAAACAGCAAAGCACAGATATGTTCAAGCTATAGTCTCTTTGCTGGAATATTAGCAATTAGAGCTAAGTTCTCTTCTTGTAAGAAGAGTTATGGCTTCTATCCCCATAAGTTATAGATAGAGTTGAAAGTCTGTAACTTCTTTTTTTTTTTTTTTTTTGCGATACACGGGCCTCTCACCGTTGTGGCCTCTCCCGTTGCGGAGCACAGGCTCCAGACGCGCAGGCCCGGAGGCCACGGCTCACGGGCCCAGCCGCTCCGCAGCACTTGGGATCTTCCCGGACCGGGGCACGAACCCGTGTTCCCTGCATCGGCAGGCGGACTCTCAACCACTGTGCCACCAGGGAAGCCCTGTAACTTCTTAATAACATATAGAGTTGTAAGTCTACTGAGCATGGAAGTCATAGAGTTACGGCCACTGGCCTCCAGGTGGCCTGAGGATTGTGTGTGGAGGCACGGTGTTTCTGTCACCCTTGCCTGGACATGCCGGATAAGGGAGGAGAGGCAGGAGTATGAGCAACTGCAGCGAAAATGAGAATCTCTCCTGACTCTAAACCTCAACTCAACGGATTCACTGGATCCCAAGTTCTTACTTTACTCTTCCTTTAACAGGCTCGCAGGTACTCAGGGACTTCCTGGTGGATATTAAGGCTGTCCTCCTCTTGCTACTGGGTCACCATTGTTTCCATTTTTGTTTCTGAGGGCTCTCCTGACCTTGACATTGTTTTTCTCCTCACGTGGAGAGGGGGTAGGGAAGAATTTTCAACTAACCCTGAGACCTGTTTGTAATAAATCCTCAAAGGGTAGATTGTCTTGTTTAGTTTTTGAATCCACTTCTTTGATGACCTGAACCTCAGTGATTGACTAAGAGGATATTTCAAGGACAACACCATGTATTTCACTCAAAAGCTTTATCCTCTGCCCACCGTCAGTCAGTGTCCCAGGCACCTCGATCTCTCCCTCCTTAGGATGAATTTTCTATAAACCTCCTCTCCCGCAGAGGCTGGGGGCCAAGTTTATTCCTTTTTGTTTGAGAGTATTTTTTCTCTCCAGAAGCCTGAGACGCTCCAGTATAGATGAGGTTCAGGTGGGTGTGAGTGATGATGCCAATCAAATTCTTACCTAAACATATATAGACTTACTTTCTCTTTTCTGAGAAAATGAAGCAATTTAATTTGTGTTGTTTTCCATCTTGTTTTTATGGCTGAATGCGCACACATACCCTGTAAGGTTATGTAAGCACTTTATATCTATTTTGGGTACCTTGGGGAAATAACAGCAGAACTATGACATTTCGACAATGACACGAAAAAATTTTAGGTGGGAATCTGCATCTTCTTAAAAATATGTGGGAAACTTGTACTCCATTTCTACTCAGTGGACCTTTCTCCCCTGACTCCAAATAAGGGATATAAATTCTGAAGTTGTCAATATATACATGGCTTTTAAAGCCGCGGAGACTGGATAACAGAGAACAGAAAAGATTCAAGGACCTAGTCCTGGGCGCTCCAAGATCAGTGTGGAGCATTCAAGCCAGACTAACCCGAGCTTCGCCTCAGTAAGGTCAGATTCTTAATCATTTTCTATCTTCAGAGCCCAGACAGTACATGGGACATTTGTGGGTGGCAAACAGTGGTATAGTTCAACAAAAATTTAACTTTGTTCCAGCCTAATTGGTAGGAGCTGGGGAAACAGCAATGAACGAATGTAAATTCCTGACACCTGCATTCTAACGAGTGGGCCAGGGAAGATAACCGGTGGCAAAACCAGAAAACGAAACGGCTTTTCCAGGAACCTATAACGCCAACCTAACATATAAATAAAGAAAAGTCGGACTGGGGCTTATGCGCGGCCCTGTCTGGTAGCTATCCTTCCCCCGCTGGGGCCAAGTCAATGCAAACTTCGCTCCTAAACGGTTTTCACCGGCATCCAGCGCAGAAGCGCCATAATTCAGGGTCCTGAGGTCCAGAGGGCAAGAGTAAACTCCGCCAGCTAGGGGAGAGGGCGGCAGGGAGAGCGGACTGGGACCTTATCTGAACCGCCGACCCGCCCCCGCGGACTCCGTACCTCTCAGGGTCCCGCAGCCTCACCCCACAGTCCGTCTGTCCGCCTGTGACTCTGTCTGGCCGCAGGTGGGCTGCTTTCTACGGAACTAAGACAGCGTTTTAAACCTACCCGCTCTCCAGCGCGGTAGCTCCCGTACGCAGGCGCACCCGTGGCAGGGCATGCCGGGAATCGCAGTTTTCCCGGCCCTGGAGGGCCCTCCGCCCCGGGCGGGACCCAGGCCGCTATCCGGAGGCGCGCACTGAGCGCGCAGCCCCGTGACCCGGACGACTAGAGATCTCCATTGAGCTCGCGAGCGGGGCACGCCGGGATAGGTAGTTTCAGCCCACTCACGTCCCGGAGGTCCTGCGGCGTCCGCTTTGCGGAATTACCCATCCCATGCCGGTGAGCGTGCAGCGTTTGGGTGATTTGACACATACCCTGCAGCCGGTCAGAGTCCAAGAGAAGAAAATGTTTTTAGTTTTAGAAGGATGAAAGTATCAAGTAACTTATGAACGACAGGAAAATAAGATTTTGTTAATGAGCATAAAAAATGGTAAAAATACCGAGCTCAAACATTCTTCTCACTGAAGAAAAAAACAAGCCCCTCTTCATCCTCGTTCATCACGGCCAGACCGAGAGTAAAGCACATGTCTGCTCCCTGGTTTTTTGTCTCTTCAGCATAATTTATTTCTTGCTTTGTCTACAGGTGAGTAGGTATTTCTCAGTTTGACTGTAAGTAGCTGCGAAACGAGAGAGAGCACCGAGAATAAAACTGCAGTCGTTTCTGAGTTTTGCCGTAAGACCGGGAATTCGCCCTTACCGGGAAGTCTTCTACAGTGAAAAGGCAACACGGCTTTGCTTTAGGTAGCTGGACAGAACACCTTTTACCAGCACCAGGGCAATTAATGTATTCTTCTCGTCTCTCTGGGGTTGCAGCTGAGAATAACTTTAGCCCTCAAGTGAATGCAGTCAGATCCGAGATGAGTCCTCCTTTGCTTAGCGATTGGCTGGCTGAATTGATCTGGCAATTCTTATTCTGATAGACTCACGTGAGATGGAGAGAATGCCCAAACCACAGCTGTAAGGCATATTCATCAAACTGTAGGGCCATCCGGTGAAGGAGAAATGAGCACCGCAAACGTTATTCAGGTGAAGGGGCCAAATAAAGCTTTTAATATGAAAAGTGGGAGAGTATTTTAGAGCGTCAATACAAAGAGCCAATTACTCGTAGGTTTTCTCTTGCAGTGACCTCTGATTTATGGATGAAGCTGGGGGATATGTGTATGCACTCGGTAGATAATCTGCACACTTCAGTGTAATGAGAGTTTTCACCTTCTCCTTGACTCTCCATATTAAACAGCAGTCAGGGAGCCAAATTGATTAAATTTAGTGTTTTTAATTTATTTTCCTCTGTCTACCATTTGGTAAACCACATTAGAACTTAAGTCAGGCAATTACAGAGTTAAAGAATCTGAAGTCGCCAATAAACTAATTCATCTGTTAGAGAAGGGGTTTCTGGACAGACACCTGAGAATTTATTATATTAAAAGTCTGTTTTTATTCTAAATGCCTGAACGTATTGATTTTTTTTTTCTGATTTCCCTCTTGATTTTCAATTGATAAATAGTTTCACAGTTGTTGACCCCACTCAAAAACAAGGTCTTTTCAGCCATGGAAATCCTAGGGATTCCATAAGGACCATCCTCTCTCATGACTACTATGATAGCCTTCTAACTGGTTTTCTGATCGCTCTTCCCAAAGCATCCTTCATATAGCTACTAAAATGATCTTTTGAGAAAGTAAATCTGATTATCTTATTCCTTTGCTTAAAAACATTTAATAGTTCCCCACTTGAACTTTAGTTTTCCATTGAACAGTATGAAGCCCAAATTTCTAATGGCTTCAGCCTAATCCACCAGCCTCATCTGCATCTGGCCCCCCAAGGGAACCTTGAATTCAAGCCTACAGGCACGTCTTTGTGCTTGCAGGTGCTGCACCCTCCGCCAGGCATGCCCTCCCTCTTATCAGTCTGGTGAATTCAACGGAAATGTAACCTCTTCTGTAGAGACATTCTGTTCCCTCCCAAAGTATTTATTGTACAGCATAATTGTCAGTGTGCCTTACCTCCCCTTGATTAGGCTGTAAGCTACTTGAGGACAGGACCTTTGTTCTCTTTATTTTGATTTTTAAATTTTCAGCAGCAAGCACAAGGCCTGGCAGACAGTAGAGGCTTGGCAAGTCCTTGTTTAGTGAATGAATTAATGAATAAATTTTGGATGCTTCTACAGAGGCTATGTCTCACTCTCCTGACTAATCTTATATAATCATGGTACAGTGATCAAAACTAAGAAATTAGTACTGGTATGATACAGTTAATGAAACAACAAACTTCATTTAGATTTCATCAGTTTACCCACTAATGTCTTTTTTCTGTTTCAGGATGCAATCCAGGATCCTACATTGCATTTACTTGTCCTGTCTCCTTCCTCAGCCTTTGTCTTTCATTACCTTAGGATCTTTGAAGACTACCGGTCAGTTATTTTGTAAAATGTCCCTCAATTTGGGTTTGTCATGATTTCTCATGACTAGATCGAGGTTATGCAATTTGGGAAAAATACCACCGAAGTGATATTGTGTACTTCTTGGTGCCTCATATTCGGGGGTACATGGTATGCCTGCCTTATTACTGTTTAAGTTAATATTCATCTCTTGCTTATGGTGATGCCTGTTAGATTTCTCCAGTAATCTTACTGTGTTCTTCTCTGTAACTAATAAGTATTTGGGGAGAGACACTTCAAGCCTGTGCAAATATCCTGTTTCTCCTTAAACTTTCACCCACTAAATTTAGCTGGTTTTTCTTGCTAACAGCTTTTATGGTGTGTTAATGGTGGCTTTCTATTTTCCTCATTTACTAGTTGGAGTTCTTTTGTAGAGAGGAGTTGTATGTTTTCTCCCATTTATTTATTTATTCAGTTATTTACATCAGTATGAGCTTATGGATATTTATTTTATTCTTTGGGTTATAATTCAATACCATTATTCTTTTATTGCTGAAATCGTTCCAGCTTTGGCCATTCAGAGACCATTAAGGAGCCACTGTGTCTCATTTTTTTTTTTTCTTTAAGCACTACCCTACTTTCTAACATTGCAAGATTTCCAGGCTCATCTTGTATTTTCCTGGCCCAGCCCTAGATTCAACCACTTCTGCAAGGAGCCCTGTTTCTTTTTATTAAAGAATGGTATTTAAAATTTGAATGCTAGGCTATCACTGCTTCTAGTTCCTCTCAGAAGACATAGAAAATATATGTATAAATACCACCCCATGCATATACAGTAATATATCTATATTTCTGTATCTATCTGTGTATATATATGTTTTACATGTATGTAAATGTGTGGACATATAAACAAGACATGAGTTCATACTGATATTCCCACTCAAATCCAGCACCACAGTTTATTCTAACTTTTGCCCTTTTCTTTTAACTTCCTTCTGTGACTGTGCGAAGCCTGGCTCTCATTATCCACAGTACATCTACTTGTTTGTTCAACCCTAGTACACATATAAAGCAGTTTTTAAAATTGCTAATCCATACCAGATAAGAAACACATTTAAAACTAGAGCATGTTGCTTGGGCACAGATCTTTTTGTCTTTAGCCTTATAGCACCCAGTCCAAACACCATTTTCCAAAGTTACTTGGGTCACTCCTTTCTTCTCCACCTGCTTCAGGGTGGCTATTTGATTTATTTGTAATACAGTTAGATTTATATGTCCCAGTCTGCATTCCAGCTTGTGTTCTGTCCAAATCCTTGTTGGTTTTATCTAATTTCCATATGGTAAAATGTACTATTTGTGGTGTACAGTTCAATGAGTTTCAACAAATTATTAGAGTTTTCTATCTCCCACCACAGTTGTATACAGAAGTTTCCTCACCCTCAAAATTCCATCATTCTACCCCTTAATAGTCAGTCCCTCCCCCACACCTCCCAGCCTCTGACAACTGACATGTTTTCCATACCCATAATTTTGCTTTTCCAAAATGTCATGTTAATGCAGTCATACCCTTTGGGTCTGACCTCTTTCATTTAGCAAATGCATTTAAGATTTATCCATGTTGTTACATGAATCAATAATTCATTTTTATAGCTGACTAGCATTCCACTGTATTGATATATCAGTTTGCTTATTCATTCACTGGTTGAAGGACATCTCAGTTGTTTCCAGTTTGGGGGGGTGGTTGTTAATAAAGCTTCTATAAATATTTGCATAGAAGTTTTTGTGTAAAAATAAATTTTTCATTTCTCTTGGATTAAGCACTTAGGAGTGGGATTGCTGGATTATATAGTAGTTATATGTTTAAATTTGTAAGACACTGCCAAACTGCTTTCCACAGTGGCTCTACCATCTTGCATATACATCAACAATGTATGGCGTTCTCAGTTGCTTCTCATCCTTGTCCACACTTGATAGTGTCAGTATTTTTTTTCTTTAGCCATTCTAGTAAGTGTGTAGTGATATCTTGTGGCTTAATTCACATCTCCTCAGTGACTAATGATGTTGAACATATTTTCATATTGCTTATTTGACGTGAATGTATCTTTTATAATAAAGTGTCTGTTCATACCTTTTGCCCATTTTAAAAATGGGGTGGTTTTTTCCTGATAAATTTTTTGAGATACAAGTCCTTTATCAAAATGTGATTTGACAACATTTTCTCTTAGTCTGTGGCTTGTCTTTTCATTCTCTGAACAGTGTTTTGCAGAGCAAAAGTTTTTAATTTTGATAGAACCAACTTACCAGTTTTTTTTCTTTTATGTATTGCTCTTTAGGTGTCATACCTAAAAATTCCTTGCCTAACCCTAGGTCATGCAGATTTTTTCTTATTATTTCTTCTGGAAGTTGTACCATTTTGTGTTTTACCTTTATGTCTATGATCTAGAGTTATTTTTTAAAATAAGGTATAAGTTGTTTTGTTTTTGGTTATGGACATCCAATTATTCTAGCACTATTGTTGGAAAGATTATCCATCCTTTCTTCTAGTGCAACACTGTCTTTGGTTAGTGTAGGTTACAGTATTTCTTGAAATCAGAAAGCGTAGTCTTCCAACTTTGTTCTTCTTTTTCAACTTCATTTTGGCTATTCT